GAAGCCATTATATTAGTCTGGGTGTGGGCTGATGAGGGCCTGCACCAAGATGGTGGCCATGTCCAAGGAGAGAAGGAGGCATGTATGGGATTGATTGGGAAGGTAATATCAACAGGATTTGGCAATTGATTGGATGTGAGGGGGGCAGGTAAGAGGGAAGAGTCAAGGGTGACACGTAGGTTGCAAGCCTGGGTGACTGGTGGTGCCCTCTATGGGCATAGGGAAGTTAGGGGATGGGAGATTTTGAGTTCAGCTCTAGATATGCTGTATTTAAGATGCTTATGGTACTTCTGGTTTGGGATGTCCAATGGGGAGTTTGAGATGTGGGTCTAGAGGTCAGCTGAGGGATTAGGTCCTGACAAGTAGGCTTGAAAATCATTAGCATAGGGATGATAGTTGAATCCGTGGGAGCTGATGAGATCACTAAACAAAATAATACACAAGAAGAAAAGAGGGCCCAAGACAGAGCCCTGGAAGACACCTACAATTATCAGGCTGGAGCTGGAAGAAAATCCAGGCAGAGATTGAAAAGTTCCCCAGCTGCTGAGGCCTACTTCTTTCAGACCCCTTCCATCTACCTCGTATATACTTGTATGCATATATAGGTTCATCAATACTTATGTGCCCAGTTATTCATATATTGTCTCTCCCATTAGGCAGTGAGCCCTTGAGGTTGGGAACTTTATTTTATTTTTTTGGCCTTTCTTTGTATTAGTGCTTAGCACAGTGCCTGACTGTGTATGTAGTAAGAGCTTAATAAATGTCTATTAACTGACTGACATACTTGACAAGTGGCTACTCTAGTCTTTGCTTGAAATTCTCCCGTGAGGGGGCTCCCCCCGCCCCAATGGCAGCCAGTTTGTCCTTACATCAAGTATAATTACAGCCCTCTTTGGCAAAGCAGAACAGGTCTTTTCCTTAAAAAACAATCCTAGTTCTAGAATTGATCAATCAATAGACATTTCTTAAATGCTTACCATGTGCCAGGTCCTAGACTGAGCCTTGGGGATACAAAGAAAAACCCTCGTCCTGCCCTCAAGGATCTTACATTCTAATGGGACATACAAGGTAAATACAGAGTTCCTTCCATCTACCCTGGATATCTCTTGAATATTCATAATTATTTCCACCTCATTAGAGGGCAGGGACTGGGTTGTCACCTTTCTCTGTATCCCTATCTCTTAGCACAGTGATTGGCACGTAGTTGGCACTTAATAAATACTTGGATGGCACTAACAGCTGGGGAGATGAGGCAGTGGTACTGGAGCTGCTGTCGGAGGAAGCCAGGGATGGGGCTGGAGGTGGGGAGAGAGGGAGGATGCTCCAGGCATGATGAGCAGCCAGGACAAAGATGCCAGGAGCCCAGACGGAAGCCGAGTACAAGGAATAGCAAATAGGTGGGCGTGGCTGGTTTGAGAGAGTATAGCCTAAAGGAGATTAAGGAGATTAGAGCATGAGCATTTTGGAAAGGGGAGGTGGAACCAGGCAGCTCAGAGCTTTAAGTGGCAAACCAAGAATCTCCTAGGGAATCTTAGGGGTGATAGAGAATCGCTGGGCCTTCTTGAGCGAGGGGGTGACAGAGTCCGACCTGCGCTTTGGGTGGGCCCACACTGAAGCTGGATTGGAGACTTGTGGCCAGGAGGCCAGTGAGAAGGCTTTTGCAGTAGTTCAGGGACAAGGCAATTCGAGCCCCAAACAGGGTGGTGGCTGTGTGAGCAGAGAGAAGGGACATATTTGAAACATGTTGTAGAGAAAGAAATGGCAGCATTTGGCAACTGGTTGGGTATGTGGGATGGGAGAGAGATAGGAGGTAAGGATGAAATGAAATGGGGAGCTTGGGCTCCCTCAACATGGTGGTTCCCTCAACAGTGATAGAGACATTTAGAAGAGGGGAGTTTTTGGGTGGGGGAAAGGTAAGTTCTGTTATGGACATGTTGAGTTTGAGATGTCTGTGGGACACCCAGTCGGTCGGTGATGCCGGGAGAGGCTTAGGAGAGAGGCTGCAGCTGGATAAGTAAAGCTGGGGTCATCTACACAGAGACCGTGACTGAACCCAGGGAAGCTGACAAGGTCACCAAGCAAGACAGTATCGAGGGACACGCGGATGGAACCTGGAGGGATCCCCACCCTTACTGGATGTGACTGAGAAGGAGTGGCCATACAGGGAGGAGGAGAACCCGGAGAGCAATGTTGTGAAAAATTAGAGGAGACTGTGATCCGGAGTGGGAGGCACCTGTAGTGCCAGGGGCTGTCAGGGGCTGCAGAGAGGTCGAGAGGAGTAAGGACTGCCAGGTCATCTCGCAGACAGCTTTGGAAGGAGCAATTTCAGTTGGATGATGAGGTTGGAAGCCAGGTTTGCAGAGGCTTTAAAAGAGAGGGAGAGGAAGAGTCATTTAGGCATCAACTCTCCATAGCGTTTTGAAGGAATTTAACTGAGAAGAGGACAGGA